ATCCGTGTGGTGATTGTTGATGAGGACTGAGCACCATGGCCGTGTGGACTGACCCCTTCCTGTCACCTGTCACAGAAACAGCGATGTCCCAACACAGCTTCTTCCTTAAGCTTCCAGGACACCAGTCCTCTCACCTGTGACTCTGTAGCTCATCTCGTCCTGTCCTTCCCGTCCACGTACTCTGCTGTAGGAGGAGAAGCAGCGGTCACCATGTGGGGAGGTGCTGACTTAACTCCCCAGGGAGCGTTTGTGCTGGGGGAGGACTAGGGGCACAGAAGCTTCACCCTGAGGGGTGATAACTAATAAATTATATGTAGAGTTCATGGAAATGAATGAGGAGCAGGGATGAGGAAATAATGCCACAGGGACTGGTGACAGCATTTGGCAAAGACAGAAGAGAATACAATTCAGTTGTTTGTTGCAATAATCAAGAGACCCTGTGCTCAGCCAACGTGTAGACAGGAAGGGGGGAGCACCTGGAGATGAGCCTGGATGAGATAAAGGAATGATGGGCACAGATCATGAAGGGGGCTCATCCTGACAAGTGTGCATTTCACTTTTATAAGGGACTCTTCCGTGTGGAGAACTGAAGACTCTTCCGTGTGGAGAACTGAAGCCAACCCTGAGCTAGGACAATAGTCAGGTGACAGAAGCATCACTTCACGGGGAAATAACAGGCACAATGTAACGTGGACAGAAGAGAGAAGAAAGACAGGATCTGGGCCTTTCCAACTAACAGTTCTTGGCTGGCCTGTCACTGTCCTTGAGGTTCTGTGGAGCTGAACCACAGGCGTGTCACTCACTCAGAACAGATTCACAGTAGAAGAAATGGCCACAGATTTAACTGCCAAGGAGGCCCCAGCACTGAAGTCAGGGCTTAGCTGAGGTAAACGGCTTTCCTGTGGAGGAGGCACTGGCCAGTGAAGGGGTCCCTCTGCCTGAGGAAGGCAGCAGACTAGTGGTGGGGAGGCCAGTGCTCTCCCCAGGGTCCCCTGCTGGACATCCCAGACCTGAGAGAATCCACCCCTGGGTCAGCAGGGGGCACTGTGGGGCTGCCCGGCTGGAAACCAACCACCTGCTCCCTGCTGGGGGCCTGGTGCTCGCTGTCCCCTGGGACAGACTGGCTGCTTAATCTCAGCCCCAGCCCTGGGGAGGCTCAGGCCAGGCCCTGCCAGCCTCATTCAGAGAAGCCTCAGTGCCCAGGGGCTGGGAGGCCATGTGAGGGGAGGGCCATCTGATTTGCATGGAAGGCCCCTAGGTCCCCACAGTGGGGAAGTAGGTACAAGAGACAGGGGCAGCTCTGAGGCAGCTGTGGGTCTCTCGGAATCAGAGCCGGCAGGAATCTCCACCATGGCCTGGGCCCCTCTCCTGCTCACCCTCCTCACTCTCTGCCCAGGTGACGGGCCCTGGGAAGGAGAATTGCTTGAGGGGGTGGAGGGACACCAAGTTGATTTTTCCTTTTTACTTTGAGAGCATGGGGTGGGCAATGACCCCAGACTCACTTCTCTGTGTCTCCACCTCTTCTGTTCCAGGGTCCTGGGCACAGTCTAGACTGACACAGGAAGCCCCAGTGTCAGGGTCTGTGGGAGAGAAGGTCACCCTGTCCTGCACTGGAAACAGCAACAATGTTGGAAGTTATGCTGTGGGCTGGTACCAGCAGATTTCTCGTGGTGCCCCCAAAACTGTGATGCTTGGCACATCTCGGCCCTCAGGGATCCCTGATCGCTTCTCTGGCTCCAAGTCTGGAAACACGGCCTCCCTGACCATCTCAGGCCTTCAGGCCGAGGACGAGGCTGACTATTACTGTTCAGCATGGGACTACAGCCTGAGTGCTGACACAGCGTTCCTGACTCATGGGGAACTGAGACAAAAACCTGCCCCTGCTCCCCTGTGATCACCCTCACAATTGTCTGTGACAAACTTCAGCTAAGAGACTGACAATGACCAGCCCTGGAGTGTTCACATCCAGGGGTCTGATTCTCAGATCACAGACCTGTTTATAGGGTTAGCAATCTTTGAATATCAGTGACTTGCTGTCTTTCTTATTGTTTTTCTGAAAACACCTTTTAAAGGTGTAACTCATATCATAAATAGCATACATTTATAAGCTTCAGTTCCTTTAGTATGTACAGTGTTGTATAACCAATCACTATAATATAAATGCGAATATTTCCATTATTCTACAAAGGAACAATTATTATGCTAATAGCCAGTATTATTATAACTTTGAGCTGTAAATCCAATTTTTGATTTCTTTATAATTTGGGGAATAATGCATTAAAATGTTTATTGTTCCACTTGTTTGGACATGTGCTTCATAAAAATGTAATTTAGTGGTATCAGTACTTCATTCCTTTTTTTCGCCAAGTAACACTCCACAGTATGGATATTCTAAGGTGGTTTAACTATTTATCATTTGGGCATTTGGGTGCTAAGCCTTTTGATTTTATGAGCAATGCCACTGTAAATACTGGTGTGCATATGTGTTCATTTATCTTGGGTGTCTAGTAGAGGTGACATTTCAGAGTGATATAGTAACTCTTTTTAGGAAAATGTTTGCTTTCCAAAGAGGCTGTGCCAGTTTACATCTCCAGGACTAACGTGTGTGTTTCAATTTCTCCACCTTCTCAGCAACATTTGCTATTATCCGTCATTTTGTTTATAGCCACCCTCACCTCACGGGACTGCAGGAATCTCATTCTAGATCTGAGTGAATTTCCCAGGAGCTGATGGTGTCAGGAACCTTTTCATAATCTTGATTCTAATTGTGAATGAGCCGGTGAAGGTCTGAGGCTCTTCCTGAGTCACTGACTTCAAAACATGTTAGATTGAGATCTTGTTGAAATTACACGCTGAGCCTGCTCAGCTCCATGAGCATAAAATTCATGTTCAAGAACAGATCTCCTTCTAGAGACAATAGAATGGGCGGAACGAGGCCCATCCACCCAGGCCAGGCTCAGGAGACACAGCATCTTGTAGACTCCGCCTGTGCCAGTCACCACAGCCCCAGGGCTACACCAGGCTCCAGGTCTGTTCTAGAGCCTGTCACTCACTCAGCCACCACCACAGGGGACACACAGCAGGTCCAGAGAGTGTCCCCTGCAGCCTCTGCAGAGGATGTTCCACTAATGAATCAGGACTTGTGGGGACTTGCAGCAATGCACACAGGAAATCATCATTATTAACCACAAGCCCACAGTGTCTCTGCACAATCATGTGGCGAAGAGTACAAAACGATATTCCATGAAAAATTAAAATTCTGGGCGGCACCTGTGGCTCAGTGGGCAGGGCGCTGGCCCCGTATACTGAGGGTGGCAGGTTTGAACCCAGCCCCGGCCAAACTACAAACAAAAAAATAGCCGGGCATTGTGGCGGGCGCCTGTAGTTCCAGCTACTTGGAGGCTGAGGCAAGAGAATCACCTAAGCCCAGGAGTTTGAGGTTGCTGTGAG